AAATATTAATATCTACCTATTTACTTCTTAGAAACGTGAGAGAGGGTCTTCATCTGTAGCCCACATTGGCCTTGAACTGTGAATGTCCTGCCTCGGCCTCCCAAGTGCTAAGATTGCGGGCTTGGCTTCATGAAATATTTCTGAACGAATAACAGCTGTTCACTTTACAAACGGGTCAAAGAAGTTGAGAGACATTAAGTCACTTGCTCGAGGACACACAGCTAACAAGTGGAGTCACTGGGATGCAGGCCGGGGTTGCTTCAAGCCCTGTCTCACTCACAGTGGCACCTGACGAGTCAGAGAGAAGCCAGGGCTGGGGGTGGAGGGCGGAGCAGGGTGCTTTACAGATGGCAGATGCAGAGAGGGCCGCTCCTTGCTCTGGTTCACTTGGCACCCCAGCTCGGTTTTTGACACGAGGCGGAGGTTCACAGTGTTTGCTGAACGACGATGTGATGGAATTGGATTGGCAGTGGGAGAGAGGGTTCGATAGCCCTCCTCTGCCCGGGACTCAGCTGTGTAGCAGGTGGGGAGAGCACCAGGAAGCCATCCCCCCTGAGTGCAGGATTCCCTTCCTGTCCCATCCTAGGGACACTGTCCTCCTGTCTGTCAGCCTGGGGCTCACATCACCATCCTGCCACATATCTGCAATGGACTAGACAGCCAATGAGGCCCTCTGAACCTGAGGTGTGCCCACGCTGACTGGGGGTGGGGCATGATCTCACCCCTGACAGGTCCCTGATGGGGAACAGGCTGATGCCTCCCAACCTGTCCCCTCGCCTCTGACGTGCCAGTATAGTCTTTTTGTTCTCCTTTGAGGCAGGGTCTTACTATGTACCCCTGGCTGACCTGGAACTCGCTGTGTAGACCAGAACTCACAGAGATCCTCCTGCCTCTGCCTCCCGAGCGATGTTGACATATTCTGACGTACTCAAACCTGCTGGGCCCTTTCACCTCTGGGTCTTTGCACAGACTGGCTCACTGGCTGGGACCGCTTCCACCCTCTGCCTCCACTTAGCTTCCACAGCCTGGTCCCTCGGGGACTCCTTCCTGGGTCTCTGGTCTACCGTTACCTCTTGTCCCTGAGCCCCTCTACCCAGGGTGACAGGGTTTCTCCTGTCCCCACCTGCTCTATGACATTGCCCCTGTGACCCCCTCTCTGGTACTTCCTGCTCTCCCATGTCTGCTCATCTGGTCACATATTGTGGTGGTTTGCATGAGAATGGTCCCCATAGGCTCATATTTGAGTGTTTATTCACCCGGGAGTAGAACTGTTTGGGAAGGATTGGGAGGTGTGGCCTTGCTGAAGGAAGTTTGTCACTGGGGGTGGGGCTTTGCAGTTTCAAAAGCCCACGACAGGCCCAGTCTCTCCCTCTGCCTCCTGCCTGTGGATCACGGTGTAAAGCTCTCGGTTAGTGCTCTAGCGCTGTGCCTGTCTGCTCCCACCACAATGACCACAGACTCGCCTGCTGGAACTGTGAGCAAGCCCCCAATTAGATGATTTTTTTTTTAAAAGAAGGGTTCCCTCAGCCTTGGTGTTTCTGCACAATCCTAGAGCAGTAACTAAGACACACATTCTACACTAAGCTGCAGACTCTGAGAGAGCAGACTCTCACAGCTCCAGCCATGAGTACAGAACCCAGTAAACAGTGGACACTGGTGGGTGTTGGCAGGATGGCAGACTCCCCGGGTCAAGGATCCTTGAAGGATGACAGATCTACCGACCAAGGACCCTTGAAGGTTGATGGGTCCTGGCTGTCCTTGGTATCTAGGATTCCACCTGCAGGCCTGCACCATCCACTTCTCTCCACCAGAGGGCATTAGACCGCCTTAGTGGGTGGCTGTCACCAACTTTTGAGTTCACATTAACTAAGCTCAAAAAACCAAACCAAACAGCACCAGCCATCCCCAAAGTCCAAACAACAAGAGGAACAAGGGACAAGCCAGCCCTCATCATTATAAAAAGGGTAGTGTCACAGGCTACATGAAGAGGTCAAAAGAAAACCACCGAGTAGGGGAAGGGGCCTACACATCGTTATTGCATCAAGGTTTGGATTCAGCATATATAAAGAGTTCTTTCAGCACAAACAACAACCCAGTAAGTAGCCTCTGGAACGATGGGCAAAGGGTTTGAAGAGCCTTTCTTTGGAGATGGCATACGGACAGCCCCCGTATACGAGCACAGAGAAGCATTTGAAAAGACATGTGATGTCAGTACTTATCAGGGAAACATGAGAATGTGGTGAGATGCCTACAGACACACTGTGCTGGTTACAGAGCACAGAAAATGTGAGTCGGTAAGTGTTGGGGCAGGACAGAACTGCTCTACCACCAGGGGGATGGTGAAGTGGTGCAGCGGCTGTGGGAAGTGTGAGCCGACTGCAGGGATCACCCTGTAGGACCTAAGGATCATATTTAAGAGAAATGAAAACGTACTCCCATGTTCACAGCAGAGCAGTTACTAAGATAAAAAGTGGAAATAATTCTAACGTCCAGTGATGGACAGGTAAACAAAATAGAATCTAACCCACATGACAGAATATTCCTCCGCCACAAAAGGAACAGCATGCTGATCTGTGCTGCTACACTGATCCTGAAAATCCCATGGCTAGTGGAAGAAGACAGACACAGAAGTCATGTGCTGACTGTGTGAGATCTCACAACAGAGGCAGAAAGGTGGCCGCTGGGGGCGTGGGCAGGACATTGTCTGATGAAGGCTTAGCATCCAGAATATGTAAAGAAGACAGTCAAAGCCACTAAGTAGACTGTTGAGTGACCGCTGAGGAGTAGGGTTCCCACTGGACAGAGCGGTGGTAGCACAGAGCACCACAGCATGCTAAGTGTCCGCGAGAGCCAATTTCACGCATTTCATTTATCACAGCACAGTGTGGGGAGTAAGAGCCTGGCCCAAGGTTACTCCAGACGCCACAGAGCAGTGGTTCCCAACCTGTGGGTCTAGACCCCTCTGGGGGTCGCATATCCGATATCCTGCATATCAGATAGTTGCATTATGATTCATAACAGCAGCAAAATTTACAAGTTGTGACATAGTAATGGACATAATTGTGTGGTTGGGGGTCGCCACAACGTGAGCAACTCTATTAAAGGGTCGCAGCATCAGGAAGGTTGAGAACCACTGCACTCTAGGGTGCTGCCTCCCACCTCCCGGCGGGTGGATACTGGTGGTACCTGAGCAGACAGGCTCCTGGCTGCTCCAGTGGGGTTTGGAGGCGTTGATGCAGGTCAGAGTCTTAGCTCCCTGCAGCTTGTAGCCCAGGTGGCAGTGGAAGTGAGCCACCCCACCCGAGTGCAGATCCATCACCGTGACATCTCCAGCTTCGGGCCGGCGGGGGAAGCTGCAGCCCAGCATGAAAGCTGGGGAGAAAGGAGAAACGCAAGCGCATCAGCCTCGGACAGGGAACCAGCGCGACCCACATCCCAGCAGTAGCCTTGTGCTGAGGACAGAGGGGAACTAACCCCGGGGGAGGGTGGGCGCTGGAGTTGCCAACTTTGTGGTTCCCCCACCTTATTTTTTGAGGTGAGGTCTCTCACTGGCTCGGAGCTTACTGATTTGGCTAAGCTGGCTGGCCAGCAAGTCCTAGGAATCCTCCCGTCTCCACCTCCCACCACTGGGGTTACAGGTGTGCCCCGCTTTGCCTTTTATGTGGGTTCTGGGGATCGAAGCGTAGTCCTCACCAAGCTTTTTCTTTACCTGAGCCCTCTCTCCAGTTCCAAAATTACGTATGTTCCATTCTTGGCTTTAAAAGCCATTGCTCTCGGACAGGGAGGAGGGGGTCTTTTGATTTAATCAGAGTGACAGTGGGGTCCCTGGCACAAAAATAAAGCCCAGGAGTGTGGCTGGGTGTTGGAGGAAACTGAGGCCGGTGTCTCCACCTCGCTGGACGCCTCAGCAGACCCTACCCTGGTAGTGCAACTGGAAGGTCCCGAGGCCGTCATCCTGGAAGGTCCGGAAGTACACAGAGATGGCGTTGGTGGGGCTACGGATCACCTGGCCCTCCACCAGGAGAGTCTGGTTGGCTAGGACGGTCAGGGTGGGGCCGTCCACTCCACGGATGGAGAGCAGCTCCCCCTCAGACAGGTTCACGCTCTTCACCTGGAACACACGGGGTAGACAGAGAGAGCTGGGGCAGCAGGGGTGCAGCTCGGAGAGGGTGGGGAGAGACCCCTCTGCGGACAACTAACGGCACTGGGTGCTGAGGGCTGTGTGGACTCAACAGACTCCCTCTTGTCTGTGTGAACTGGTGAGCGAGGGGTGCTCTCGTTTCTAGGTCTCTCTTAGCTTTCTCTCGCCTGGCCTGTGCTGTGACGGCACTCCAGGGCGACCCACCCTTCTCCAGGCTGCTCGCCTCTGCTCTCTGTGTTGTAGGGGGTGGGATGGGAGGTACGGTGGACCCAGGTGCACACATGCACATATGTGTTGTATAATATGGTGTCTGCTTGTGTTTAATAAGCGGGGTGTGAAGGGACTTCCTTTCTGGATAACACATCCAATGCTTTGCCAGCACATCCTCAGGCTTCTGTTGGACGTGCCCTTGTGGGAAGTCCCACTCTGTAGACCCTGATTTGAGGAAAGGAGGTGTGACAGTCAGGCCAACCGAGACTAGGCTACCTGCAACTCCACTCCGTAGCCGGTGTAGACTGTCACATTGTATGTACACTCCAGGAAGCTGCCGAAGGGCTGAGGTGGGAAATCATTCGAGTCGATGTATCCCTCGGGGTCAGAGAAGCTCACACTACAGAGAGCTGTGGAGAAACAGACGCTGCCGTCAGAACCAGGGGGCTGCGGCTGGCCCAGGAGCTCAGGGATGGGCTGTGGGGTGGAAGCCGACCTGTAGGGGTCTGCGCTGTATCGTATGTCCACCAGACCCCATCCACCCCTGGAGTCAACACAAAAACAAAGCCCGCCACCAGTTCTTACCTCTACGAAATCCTCAGTCTAAAGAGAGAGAGTTCCTGTTTCCTCATGCCTTATGTACCTTTCTCTGCCCTGCCATATTACGTCCTGGGATTAAAGACATGTGTGCTTCCCAAGCAAAGACATGAGATCTCAAGGGCTGAGACTAAAGGCTCTGTTCCCAGTGTGGCCTTGAACTCATAGAGATCCAGATGGATCCCTGACTCTGACTCCTGAGTGATAGGATTAAGGGTGTGTGCCACCATTGTCTGGCCTCTATGTCTAATCTAGTGGCTGGCTCTGTCCTCTGATCCTCAGATAAGTTTATTAGGGTCCACAATATATCACCATAGAGTTATTTATTTTATGTATGTGGTGCTCTATCTGCATGTACACTTGCACGCCAGAAGAGGGCATCAGATCCCATTATAGGTGCCTGTGAGCCATCATGTGGTTGCTGGGAATTGAACTCAGGACCTCTGGAAGAGCTGCCAATGCTCTTAACCACTGAGCCATCTCTCCAGCCCCATTCCACTCCCATCTTAAAGACAGGTAGGCCAAAGCACAGGAAGGGCCCCATCTGGGCCGAGCTCACACACACACACAACACACATTCAGACCCAGCTAACGGTCTTAGTTGTTAGGTACAAAGCAGCCTCACCCCCCTAAATGTCAGTGCTGGTGACAATGTCCTAAACAGAAGGACTTTGGCTGGGAAAAGAGAAGGATTATTCACTGGTAAACAGGGGCCTGAAGGTGGCTTTCTATTTACCAGGGGCGTCCCACAATCTGTCCCAAAGGTCAACTACTTCTGGCAATGGCAAAAGGTTCCTGGTCAATCTGAACAGCCTACAACCACTCAAAGATCCCGCCCTGTCATGCAAAATCCGGTTGCTTTCCCACATTTTTACTGTGGCCTTGGAAGTTTGTTTTTCAATTAACCTTTCTTTCTATCCATGGGGAGGTCTAGTTCTGTGGTTTCACCTCACCTTCGATTTGCACAGTGGGCAGCTATGTTGACGCATGCTGGACAACCGTGGCCCCTCTCCGTAGGAAAGGATTCAAACCCAGAGAGGCACCGAGCCTACGTAGGCTGGGCGAGCAGCCTCAGCGGTCCATCCACACCATGGTGGGTGCTCCCCGGCTCCCTGGCCTATCAATTTCCACCTGAGCTCCAGTCCCTTCTATAGGAAGGTGTAGGAAGTGAACATCCTCCTCCCTTATGCTCTCAATCATCCTGACAAACCCCCCACCCCCACCACCATGATGACAGATGTCTGTGTGAACAGCTCTTGTATGGTTTAGAAAATATGGTGAGGAAAAAGTCTGGGGCTCACAGGACTGATACAACTAAACTTTCTGAAATCTCTATCTATGGTCCACGGACTGTACAGGGGAGCCCAGAGACAGGATTGGCCGGAGATAGGATAGCCTGGAAGAGTCGGTGCACTTCGGGTGAGGGTGGGGCTCCGTGGTAAAGTACTTGCCTAGTATGTGCCTGACCCTGAGTTCTGTTCCTAGGGCGCGCGCATGCGCACACTCGCGGGACACACACACACACACACACACACACACACACACACACACACACACACACACACTAGCTCTCTCTCTCTCTTGCTCCCAAAACAAAGCAAAACAAACAAACAAACAAACAAAACGGCCGGAGTGGCTCAGTGCTAGCGTGCCCTCCCTCCAGGCGCAAGGGCCGGGTCCCACGCCCACTGTGGAAAATCCAGAAATGATGAACTACAGCAGGGGTAGGCGGCGAGCGTGGCGCACCTGGCGCCTGCTCTGTGGTGATGATGGTCGTGGTGATGATGGTGGACGTGGTGGTCTCCTGGCTCTCCTCGGAGGCGGACCCAGTTAGCTCGTTGTCCCCCTTGTCCAGCGGGCTCCCGGGGGCGCTGCTGTCGTCGGGGGCCTGTGCGGGCTCCGGGCTGTTGGGGAGCGTGGTCACCAGCGTGGTAAAGGGTACGATTTGCAGTGGGGCGGGTGCTGTGGGCTCTTCGGGGTCCCCGGGCACATGTGGCTTGGTGGTGGCCGAAGCAGGGGACCCTAGTCTCTGCAGAGGCGTCGGGGTGGCCTGGGGCCTCAGCTGCCTCCGGGCCGAGTTGAGTTGCTTCAGGGACGGTAGGCCCTTCCGGAGGGCTGGGGCGTGCTGGATGCTGGCGTGGTCAGGGAGCGCAGGGGGCAAGGACCCTTCCAGCGTTTCCAGCGTTTCCAGTGCGTCCTGGGAAGGCAGGGGACCCGGGGCTGATGACGTCACTCCCTCTTCCAGGTTGCTCTCCAGCGAGGCGGCGGAGGGCAGGAGGTAGTCCGCGGAAGGGCGCGGGTCTCCCTCTGGACCACTGTCTGGGGAGAAGGGGAGAAAACATAGCCATTAGCTTGGACCTGCCTCACCTCCTGTCACCTGTGAGGGTGGCCTCTAAAGGGGACACCCCGGCCTCTTCCCTTCCCTTCCTTCCTCTCCTCACTTCCTTTTTTTCTCTCCTGAGGAGTTGGGGCTCATCGTGCTGGAACCCACTAAGGGCTAAGACTACAGAAGCTGAGGATGACAGCCTCACGGCGGCGGTAGCGGGATGTGGGTCCCTCGCTGCGGCAGCAGGGGCGCTGCGTGTGGACCAGGAACTGCACAGGACATGGCAGGAGGCACAGTTATCTGCCGACTGGTGAATCAGAGGCAGATTCACGAGGGGTGTGTGAATACAGGTGGGGGCCTGGCGCTGGGGGTGAGGTTTGCCACAGAGCAAGGAGCGTGGGGGAGGGGGGATAGGGCCAGAGCTGGGAAGGGTGGGGGCGTTGGCACGTGGGGCCGTGCACCTTGCTCTTCTGACTTACTTCTCCCTACATGGTCCTTGAACGGCCGTGGAGTGATGTCCTAAGATGCCCATTTCGAGCCGAAGACACATGGAGCACGCTAAACCCGCTCCGCTCCACAGCTTAGTGACTATGCCCCCCACCCCCCAGGGAGTGCCCTTTGGTCACTTCATCGACCCGCATGTGACCTGTATTCAGCTGCCTGTGGCTCCCAGTGTCACTAGAGAAGACAGCGCCACACACGGCCAGCCCAGGAAAAGATCTGAGTTCCATCAGAGGTACGGCTGAAGGAGGGGTATGGTTTTGGCCACATCATTGTTTTTTATTTTTTTCCCCAATGGTTTAAAATTAGCACTTTATCTTTCTGTGGACAGAGGATTAAAGTGTCCACACCACCTATAATGAACAAACACCAGTACAGAGAGAGAAGACAGCAGGTCTGGATGCTCCCAGGGAAAGCCTGGACTTCGGTAAGCCCCCTCAAGCACACGAACTTCAGAGTCACACTGCCAAGTTTCTTCTTATTTTTCCTCGTGGAGACAGGGTCTCCTACAGCTCCCGTGGGCCTCCAACTTGCTATGGAGCTGAAGACGACCTAGGTCTCCTGCTCCTCCTGCCTCACTTCTGTAGGGCTAGGATTCCAGGGGTGTGCCACTATGCCCAGTCTTAGGTGGTATTGAGGCTCAAACCCAGGGCCTCAGGCATGCTAGGTAAGTGCTCTACCCCCCTGAGCCGCATCTCCACCCCCAAACTTGTAAGTTTCCAATGATGACTTGGTCCTGTGTGACCTTGTGCATGGAGTCCCCAGCTCTCAGAAACCCGGCTTTGTTCCTTATCAAACGAGGAGGATAGTTACGGCAGATGTGCCAATTAAACGGAACGCCCATTCGACGTGCCTGGCGCGAAACCCGGCAGAGAAGAAAAGCATTAAGCCGAAGGAAAAGGAGAGGACATTAGAGACGCTGAAAAAAAAAAAAAAAGAGAGACAACATGTTTCCTGCAGAAGTGAAATAAAGTACACCAGCCTGTTGGGTTATTTCCCCCACTGCTGTGGCCAAACACCCACCAAGAAGTTGCTTAGGGATGAGCGGCTCGTGAGGGCTCACTGTGGAGGGTTCTGTCCACCACGGCAAAGAGGCATGGCAGAGGTGAAGCTGACTGAGGATTGGAGTTCCTGAGAGCTGCTGGTTCACACCTTGGCGGAGGGGAGGGAGTCGGGGAGGGGAGGGAAAAGAGAGAGATGCTGCCCTTGGCTGGCTTCCTCCTTCCCCACTTCATATTCAGTCCTGCTGCCCATATTCAGGATGGGTCTTCTCTCCTCAGCTCGTTGTCTTTGGAAATGTTCACGGCATCCGTCTTAGTTAGGGTTATTATTGCTGTGATGTGGTTACCATTTACACCATGACCAAAGCAGCTTGGGAGAGAAAGGGTTGATTTGCCTTCCAGATCACAGTCCATCATCAAAGGAAGTCAGGACAGGAACTCAAGCAGGGCAGGATCCTGGAGGCAGGAGCTGGTGCAGAGGCCATGGAGGGTGCCGCTTACTGGCTTGTTCCTCATGGCTTGCTCAGCCTGCTTTCTTATAGAACCCAGGACCACCAGCCCAGGGATGGCCTCACCCATAACAGGCTGGGCCCTCCTCCAGCAACACTAATTAAGAAAATGCCCTCCAGCTGGATCTTACGGATGCATTTTCTCAATTGAGGTTCCCTCCTTTCAGATGACTCGAGCTTATGTCAAGTTGGCCTAAAACTAGCCAGGACAGCATATCTTAAATTGGAAAACTCTAAGCTGAGTTTTCATGGCACATACACAGTTTCTTCAACGAAGGGCTGGCCCAGCAGCTGCCCAGCAGAGCTGGAGAAATCAACTTCATTTCATCCCTAGATGCTCCCAGCTGCAGCTTCCTCCCTCAGAGCCCTGGTCCGCTCAGCTGTCCAGTGGGGCTTCTCTCTCTCTCTCTCTCTCTCTCTCTCTCTCTCTCTCTCTCTCTCTCTCTCTCTCTCCTGCTCACTGGAGCTGTCATCCCTCAGCAATCGGATGTGCAGGGCTCTGAGGAAAAGGTCTGTGTCTCAGCCAGCACCTACCAGGTGCCAGCTGCTGCTGTCTCTCCTCATGGAAATCATAGCATCGCCCTCTGTGGGAAGCCAGAGCGGCATGAACAACCCCAGCAGAGATCTTGAGAGATTCCCTCCTGTGGACAGAGGTCCCTGGGTTGACTGCTGTCCTTGTCCATTTCCTGCAGACGGACACCGGCTGAACCACAGCCTCTGACCTGTCAGGTGCTGCCATCCAAATTGGTTTGTGCAGCAGCTGGGATGTCGGGTTTACTTTCATGGAGCCGGCGCACGGGTGTGATCTCTGTGGACCCCAGCCGTTACAGCTGGCCGCAGCCCATACACCTGTTGGGCGGCGCTGACCCTCAGCCAGCATTCCTCCAAGAATGCCGGGGAGTGGGAATCCAGGAGGAAGAAGGGGTGGGTATGGGTGGCAAGAGAATAGACCAAGGTCATCTGGGCATCAAACATGGATTCCTGATCCAGCACTGAGACTTCAGAGACGTAGGTTCAAGGCCTGCCAACTGCAGTTCCTCCCCCGACCCCGGGGAGGAGGGAGCTGGCTTATTCACCTTTCTACAGCTCGGCTCCCTCTATAAAGAAAGGTCTTCCGATTAGGAATGTGGTCCAGTGCTCACCAGGGCTGTTATCTAGGGATTGATGGTGACTGCCTTAGTAGATGGGGGACTGAGAAAGGGGTCATGGGACTTATTTAGTGACAGGTCAGGGTCCCCAGTCCAGGAGACCCAGCTGGGGTTGGATGTATAGCGTTTGGCTGTGGTCAAGATGGGGACCCTGAGCAGAGCTCCTTTGTGGGCCATGCTTTGTCTCCCTCTACAGGTCAAGTGTGCGGCCAGGCAGGATGAAGCCAGGGCTGCCAGCTCCTATACCGTGGGGGATTGGAAGCAGCAAGTCCCGGACTGTCTGTCCTGATGACTCGGCAGAGTCAGGCGACGTGACTGATGAACGGCCACACTGACTGATGAGCTGTTGGGTGCTGTGGCTGGCGGAGCGAGCCCTTCATACATGTATCTTGTCTTTCTAATCACGGGGAGAGGTGAAGAGGAGGAGGAGGGGTGAGGGGAGCCCTTGTAAGTGTGGTTGGGAGGATGCGTGGCACCACAGCAGGGACAGGAAGCAGGGTTTCACCCCTTGGCCACAGTGGCAGTGAGGGCCAGGCCTTCACTTTGACTGCTGTTGGACTGTGCTGGTGGCAGGGTGGGCATGCGTGGTGTGCTGTTATCTCTGTTCCCCTCTTGGCATCCTTAGGAAGGAAATTTTACTCCCGCCCCTTAGAGGAACAGACAGAGGCCGGGGACACAAGGCGATTTTTAAGGCTACGCAGCAAAGCCGGGGTCAGTGCTAGGGTTACCTGTTCACCCTTCCCCCCCCCTTCCTTTGCCCCAAATCTATCGCTCTGTCGTTCAACATGACCACCACATGGCTTCAAATCCCCGGCGGGTCTACCTCTCTGTCTTCCTCAAGGAACTGGGGTGCTGTGTGTCATCTGGCATCCTCCGCTCTCCCCCACCACTGTGGCCTTCTGGGAGTTCTCTCTCTTTTTAAACCTTCCCCAAGATAAACTTACCCTCTTCCCAAACTCACATCTACCAAATCTGAGGCTACAGCAGTGCATCTTAGGAAGTAGAAAATTAAAAACAAAACAAAGCAAAACCCTGCTGGTGAGTAAAAAAAAAAAAAAATACAATCAATACCTGTCACTTGTAGGTATTTACAGCTGTGACTTTAATGGTGAATTTGAAACAACCTAGAAACCCCTGGACAAAGAGTCCCCAGGAGAGATTGCCTACATTGGGCTACCCTGTGGGCATGTGGGTGAGGAATTGTCTTCATTAACTTAACTGATGGGTGAATACCCAGCAGCGCCATTCCCTAGGCAGGAGGGCCTGAGCTGTGCCATAGAGGAGGCAGCCGTGTGAGCACAAGCAAGCGAGCAAGCGAGCAGCGAGCACTCATTGTCTGTGACATCACTGCCACCATGACGTCATTGCCACCGTGATGTCATTGCCACCGTGACGTCCTGTGACGATGGACTGTGGAATCCTGACCCTAAACAAACCCTTTCTCCTCTGAGTTGTGAATTTTTTGTTTGTTTGTTTCTTTTTTCAAGGTATTGTAACCACAGCAACAAGACGGGAAATTAGAAAAAAACGGGCACAGTGTGGTGATTTGCAGCAGTGCGCAGTGATGAAGCCAGAGCAGCCAGAGCTTCTGTCTTCTCATGCGGCTGGGGTGACCCCGAATTCCTGGTCCTCCTGCCTCCACCTCCCAAGTGCTGCCGCACCTGGTATGTACAGTTCTAGGGATTGAACCCGGGGCTCTGTGCCTGCTAGTGGAGCATGTTACTGATGGAGCTGGATCCCCAGCCCAAACCCTGACCATTCCCATGTATTAGGAATCTTTGGATTCCCTCTTTTTTTTTTTTTTTAAAAAAAAGGATGCATTTGACGTATTTTATTCTCATTTATGTGCATACGTGTCTCTCTCTCTCTCTCTCTCTCTCTCTCTCTCTCTCTCTCTCTCTCTCTCTGTGTAATGCTGGAGGAAGCCAGAAGGGGGCACTGGATCCTCAGGAGCTGGAGTTACTGGCAGCTGTGAGTTACCCAACGTGGGTGCTGGGACCTTCAGGTCCTCTGCAAGAGCAGTGAGCACTCTTGACACTGAGTGTCTCCAGACCCTGGCCTCTCCTTTCAAGCTGTTTTGAAATGTGTTCGAGGTTGCTGCAGGTTGCAGAGCCCCAACTGTGCCCCCAAACACCATCGTAGAGACCCCCACCGCCCACCTTTCTCTCTATCCTCATCTCTACAGCCACCTTTCTACTGCCGTCCTGTAGGAGACCCGTGACACCAGCGTCACAGATGAGCAAGAGCATGTGGAGTCTGCCTTCCGTGCGGGGCTAATTTTACTTCACTCTGCACACTCTAGTCCCGCTCAGGCTCCTTCACATGTCAGAGCTCCTCTTTTAAGGTGGCATGGCACTCCACTGTGAACTTGGAGCATAATGGCTTCAACCTTCTGCCTGTCAGCGGCCATCTTCACTAGCCCGGTATCTCACTGACCATGTGGCGTCTGTCTGTAGTAGGCACCAGCCTGCAGGTACCTCATTGACACGTTGCCTGCATTTCCTTTAAGTACTGCCTGGGACTAGGAGTTCAAGACATGATGATAGATCTACCTTCATGTTTTGAGGAATCTCCAAACCCTCTCCATAATGGCCACACTGATCTGTGTTCCCACAGCAGAGTATGAGTGCTCCCTCTCCATAATGGCCACACTGATCTGTGTTCCCACAGCAGAGTATGAGTGCTCGCTCCTAACACTCACACCAGCATTTCTTGTTATTAACCCGTCTGTTTCAACAGCCCATATTCTAACTGGGTGGGTGACACCCTGGTGGAAGTCCCTGTGCATCAGGGAGGGTCAGACAACTGCCTTTTTCTCTCTTGCCATGTGGTTCTCCTCAATTTCACCTCCTAGGTGCAGGTGGCATGGTGGCAGGGATTGGGGGGGGGGTGCTACAAGGTGCTCTGCTGAAACCTCCTTACCCTCAATAGGAACAGAAGGGGACTCCACCACCATCACATCCACCCTCTGGGACCCCAGGATGGCCGGTACCATCTCCATAGCTAGAGCCCCACAGGAGGCGAGTCTGGCTGTCCTCAACCTCTGCCCGTCGAGGACCTTCTGATCCACAAAGGCTTCCCTCTCCTACACTGAAGTGCTCTCCCCTGCACGCAAAGCAGATCTTGCTGGCTGACTCCAAACTTCGGGCCAACTTCAGGGCTGAGGAGTGGTGCCTGTAGCCTGCCTTCCGTGAGGCCCGAGGACTCAGCTCAAACGCCAGCTGGCTGAGCACCACGCAAAGCCGAGTCCCACTGTACTCAGTCTAAATTGGATCCCGGGCTTCAGAAATGCAGCGAGTTAATAACTCGCTCTAATGGGCTTTTCCCCAGGCCCCAGGGACCACTGAGTTAAACGCATTCCTCTATTTCAGAGCACTTAGAAATCTCAGTTACACATGACAGATTCTTCCCTTATCATGTGTGCTCAGCACTCGGCCTGGGTGCTGTCAATCAACCCATCCATCCATCCGCCAGCCCTTCTGTGAAAGAGAGGCTGCAAACTTTCTCCTCTGGCCGACCCTCAGCACTGTGTGATATCGCCCCTGCTCTTAGGAAGACACACATGGGAAACCAAACACAATTGTCACACAGGAGTGTGAGTGTATGTGCATGTGCGTGTGTGTGCATGTGCGTGTGCGTGCGTGCGTGCGTGCGTGCGTGTGTGTGTGTGTGTGTGTGTGTGTGTGTGTGTGTGTGTGTGTGTTGTTAATGAGACGCTCCCACTGTGGCTGCTCTCTCTGGGGACAAGCTGAGCATCTGCCTTGCTTTGTCCCTCTGTTCCTCTGTCCCTCTGTCCCTCTGTCAGGAAAACAGTTTAAATGGAAGAGGCACCAGTGCTCATCAGCCTGGGTCCTGCGAAGGCTGGGAGTTCCTCCAGCGGTGATAACACCTCCCTGTAGAAGACACCACAGGTGTCTGCTGAATCCACCAGGGAGGGGAGCAGGGAGTAGCAGAGAGAGGAGGGGCCATGGTAGGAGACAGCAAGGCAAGCTGGGTAGGAGACACCATCATGTTTGGACTCCTGACATGCACCAGACACCCCATGAGCACCAAGGGAGCAAGGAGGAGGATTCAGATGTAACCAGGGGCTAATGACGTTCCCTGGAGTCCATAAACTCTAGAATATTCTGAATGTGTCAGGGGTAGGGCAGGGTGTAGACATGGTATACACGACCGTGTCCCCATGCTACATTCCAAAAAGTCCTTCTGTAGCCTGGTCCTCAGGCTTCTCCCAGGCCAGTTCTAGCTCCCTCCCTCCACACGCGGGCATGCGTTATCTTTTTGACTATTGTACCAACGGCACACAGGAAGCAACAGGAGGAAGGGGCATTATTTCCCTCCTGGTTTAGAGTAAGGTCCTTCACTCTACGAAGGCATGGCAGTGGGCGTGTGTGGCTGCCTGCTCACACCTCAGGGGACCAGGAAGCAGAATGAAGGGGATGCACACTCTCAGCTCAGGTCACCCCATTTCTGCTTTTTATTCGGCATGGGATACTGGGCCATGGGAGGGCGCTGCTCACATTCCATGGTGACTCCTCTTCCCTCAGTTAACCCTCTCAGGAGGCTCCCTTGGAGAGGAGGTGTGCCTAAAGGGGTGCCTCACCAGCACCCCAGGGGCTTCTGATTTTTAAACGTTTGCTAGCACAGTACTAATCACACATAATGGGTTTCCTTATGTCATTGTGATTCATGTGTATAATGAGTGCATTTTGAGCATATTCACCCGTTAATATAATGATCTTGTCCTTTGGGGCTGCCCTGTGTCCTGACGTAGATACCTCTTCTTAAGGAAAAACGCCTCCCCTTTTTCTCTCTCTTTCTGATTTCCTCCCTTGAGGTGCGCACCCTGGAATCCCACCCCCCTTCCTGTCTTTTCCTATCTTTCTCTTTATCCCTTATTATAACGAACCATTTCCTTTCGGATGTAGCGTCTGGGTTGTGAATGTCCACCTGCTGCCCCACCACCATGGCTACATGGAGTGGGTCACCTGCCAGCCTGCTGCTGCATCTGCCCAGCATGCCAGTATGGTTCCCTGTATGAGTGGGATACCCTGGCCTGGCCGGCTGGGGGTTTCCCACACATGCATAATAAGTAACACACCCCATCGCTTTCTCAATTCTGTAAACCCCCTTCCTGTTTCCAGCCAGCTCCCCCGTCTACCTTCATGTCACTTTTTTTGGGGGTGGTGACCCAATGTATTTCATTAGGGTTACTTGCAGGAGCACGGGTAAAGGGAAGATAATTTGACAGGCGCAGGGATGGCTTCTCAGTGTCTACACCACTGAGGAGAATGTGTCTCCCACTCCCTAGGCATTTTTTTTTTCTCAAGCAGAGACTTAACAATCACAAACCGGTTTGCTCAGGGACGACATGAGTGGATTCTCTTCCGTTCTCTCTTTCTCTTTGGAGGAGAGCTGATTGCCGGCAAGGGGTGGGGGGTAATGGAAGAAGGTTGGGTAGCCCAGGTGTGTCTGTGGGGGCCTGACTCAGGAAGGCAGAGCTGCCAGAATGTGTGCCTATCCCATGGCTGGGGGCCTGGGAGGAACCAAGGGAGAGGCGGAGCCGTGAGCATGGGCGCTCTTCCGGCTTCTTCCTGATGGGCAAGCACTCTTTCCTGCCACACCCCACCACAGTGCTCCCACCCTCACAGACAGACTCTGAGCCAGTTGGATCATCTCTCCTCAAAACTCTTCCCTGTCAGCATCAGTGAGTCTAACGCAGCCAGTGCCTGGACAGGAAGACCCTGGAGCACTCTCCTTCGTCTGCCTATCTTCAGGGGAGACACGGGAAAATTCCCTCTGTGCAAAGATGGCCTGCAAGGTTCATCTGAAATGACCACTGGAGGCGAGCTTTCCCGATGGCGTGCTCACTGGCAGAGTGCAGGAGATGCCTGAGGTAAACCAGTGAGGCCCCGGGGTCACATCCACCCTGCTTGCAGGTGGTGTTGGATGAGGCCAGCTTTTCTTCTTTACACAGCTCAGAAGACCTTGGCTTTGCCAAAGGAGGCACAGATAGCAAGCCCGTGGGACAGCTCATCGCTGTCAGCAGCTGTGATGAGACCCGCCTTAGGCCTGGCTCTCCTAATGCTTCCAACACAACCAGGGCGCCTTTCCGAGCCACACCCCTTCAGCTCACTATCTTCAGATCCGTGGAAGAAACTCCACAGAAGGTTCTGGAGGCCTGTCTCTGTGTCCTCACTGATGTGTGGCAGCGTCTCTGTGGCTTCAGCTGTCTTAGGTCCCACCCATCAATGTATATCTCTCGCCATCCTCTTTTAATCCAGTCAGCCCCTGACTTAAGAGGTTGGCGCCTATTACAACTTTCTGATGACGTGTAATCTCCCAGTGTTCAGAGGGAGTTGCCCTTTGAACCTTTTGCTGTTTTCTGGCTGATCTCACATGCTCACAGTGCAGCTAGCTCCCAGGGAGCCATACCGTCCTTAAAGCAGCCAGAGCTCCAGGTCAGGGGCATCAAGAGCATGTGGACTTATAATGTCTGTGATTTATTTTCCCCATCTTAAATGGAGGGGTATTGGCATCCCATCCCTTGCATAGGCTTCCTCTCCTCTGGGATTTAGCCCCCTCCCTTAATTCTCAACACCACCAGCGGAAGTCAGTCATAGCATTGGGGCGGGGCCCTCCTCCTTGCAACACCACCAGAGACATCAGCCACAGTACTGGGGGCGGGGCTCTCCATGCAGGCTTCTTTCCTGTTTTCCACCCCCGCCCCCCCAGAGATAACCCTCTTAAGGACAGAGCTCATGTCTTCTCTACTTGTCCATGCTTTTCTAGAACCTATCCCGTGACCACGGACCTGACACCTAGGCGCCCCATAAACATTTCTTCACGGGCATGCTTCCCGTGTAGACGGTAAGACTTGATGCCTTAGACAAGGCCCACTTCTGTCTAAATGACATCAGTTTATGCTGCGGGCTGAGCATTCCTGAGTATCTGGAAACCCAAAATGCCCCGCATCGCACCACAGATGGGAAATTTCATACCGAGGAACTTGGTTTTGTGAGTAGCGTTATTGAACATATTGTATGTAAACAGCTTCAGGCTGTGCATGTAAGGTGCCTTTGACATGGTACGGGGTTGCTTTTCAGTCTCAGCTCCCCACCCAAGATAGCGCACCGTGTGTGTGTGTGTGTGTGTGTGTGTGTGTGTGTGTGTGTGTGTGTGTGTGAACAAACTGAAATAGGAACCACTTCCGGCCCCAGGGACGCTAATGTTGGTCAAGTCGCTTCCCCATCACCACGCTTCAGCTGACGGGCAGAGAGCAGGAGGCAGCCGAGTCACACGCAGCTCCTGGTTCTGTCAGCAGGGCAGATGGACACTCAGCTGGTGTACTTCTTGCTTGACTGTCGTGGTTTGGGGCCCTGATGAGCGTGCTTTGCTCGCAGGGGTAGGTGTGGATGGGGGATTTTGGTGCCAGCACATGCCACTCTAAATTCAGCAGAGTATATGTGCACATTGACCCCCCGGACTGCCCCCCAAGCTTGTGCAGGGGTCTGGAGGCTACAGGGGACTCTGGCAGGTGCCAAGCGGGTAAGCGAACTGAGGGAAATGTCACAGCGACAGGAGTGACATTTGTGACCATTGTCCTCTCCACCCTGGCTTCTTCCCAACCCACGGGTGTCCTTTGTAACTCACGCTGGGTTCAGAAATCCTGGGACGTTCTTTGTGCCCATTTACATTCCATCAGCACGCTGGCTGGCTGCTGTGTCCTCCCTCCCTGTGAATAAGCCCAGAGAGCTGTTGGCACCCTGTGATTGTGCCTGTGTCTTTAACCCTGATTAACAGGGCTGCCTCACTACAGATGAACTTGCCTCTCCCTGCCTCTCTCTCCAGCTCCTGTCATCCCCCCCCCTCCATTCATGCCTCACGGTGGATTTTGTGACTTCTTACAGTATGGCTTCAAGGAGAGGACACAGGGTGATTTATTTGAGTAAATGAACCTCGGAGTCGCTGAGGGAAAGAGGAAGCCAACATGGAAATCCTGTCAACATCAGACTGTCTATATTCCCACGAAGAGAAATCAGATCCGTGAAGGAGGCCACGTGGTCCACAGGTGAGCGTCAAAAGCTCGAGATAAGTTAGTGATTTGTCTCCTTCAGCCGTGAGGCTGGACTGGTAGGCAGAAACAAAGAGCCTCCTGCGTGTACATAAAGATGCATTTAGAGGTGCACTGAGCCAGGACGGCAGGGGGGCAGATTCCATCTCCCAAAGCCTCACTTTGTAAAATGAAGACGTTCATCTTTGCATTCTCATCCTTAAGCAAACGCAGGGGTTGGGGCTGTATTCTGAGTTATGCAGATGACGGAGTTGTGAGGGACCAGAAGCCAATTCACCTCCCTGTCTTTGCTGATCTAGGCAGGAGAGCAGTGGCTCTGTTTCCCGAGGGCGTGAGAAAGGAAGCCATTGTAACTTCCATTTTAGAGATGAGGAAATGGAGGAGCAGAGAAGTCTGATCAGATGGCTCTGTAGCCTCAAAACTCTGTCTGGATGAGGTGAGGGCCTGGGCTGTGTCTGTCCGGCTGTGTCTGTCCCATGCTCTTCCCTGGCCCGTCTGTGAATCCTATTCTAGTGAGGCTGTTTCCAGGGAGAATACAACTTTGCAAGTCATCTCAAAGGTCCCCAGGAACCTCCCAGGGAGCCCTGGGGCAATGGGGGTGCACATTGGCCTCCTCAGTAGCAGAGGGCAAAGTGCTTTAGCTGAGGACATGACTTCAGAAAGAGGCAAAGAATAACCCATGGGACAGCAGAGTCAGGAGGCAGCTGCGGGGTGTGTGTGTGTGTGTGTGTGTGTGTGTGTGTGTGTGTGTGCGCGCGCGTGTGTGCGGGGTGGTGACAGATGGGGCCACATGCTTATTAGCCTCACGAAGACCCCATGTTCTCAGTCGCTTTTGATTATAGGCCACAGCAGGAACAGCACAGTGTGTCCATGCTGTGTAAGCAGCAAATGATAGAGGCTTGGAGCTTCTGGGGTGGAGGTTGGGGTTCACCTGGCATTTCCAGAGGGACAACAGAAACATGATCATTTGCTCCGATGGCCAAAAACGTCAGGCTTGCAGTGAGCGCCCTGGGCCAGCATGGGTGATTGACACTTTCTCCACCTGCAAGCCACGCACGGTGTTTCTTGAAACAGCTGAGAGCTCTAAGTGTGGAGTCTGAAGGGGTCTGGGAACCCTATGTTTCTTGGAAGAGTCTCCCCCCCCCCCCAGGGTGGTATGGGAAGCATACTGCTGACATTCCAAGTTAGGTACTGGGGGAATGGGGCAGGAATCTTCCCTAGGCCAGTCACATCCCATAGCCCAGTGAGAATCACACCACATCCCACAGCACCAAGGCTTTGTCCAAGGCCTCTGCACTCCCTCCCAGTCATCACAGGACATTTTTCACATTTCAAGACCTGCACTGTGCATGGTCTTGTCCAGCACTCTGAGTCCTGAGCCAAACCTAACAGAATTGGCATTGCTTGTCTCATTTGAGAAATGAATGAGTGGGGAGTCCTGGGGGGTCGAAGGGCCACCCCAGAGGCTCCCGTCCCACAAGTAAGCCTGTTGCCATTTATTCCTTCCTTTAAGTGCTCCTGTAGTGACTTCTGTGGCTGGTGGCCTGCAGCTGGGGTGGTTTTCCGTGGTCATGGCGGGAGACATTTTTACCTGTCCAGCTGGGGTAGGGGGCTCTTGACATCAGATGGGCCAGGGTGCTGCTCTGTCCTACAGTGGGAGGGGCAAGTCCTTCCCCAGGGGAAAGGGAACCAGCCCAAATGTGCTCTGTGACCAGGGGAGAGGTCTGGACTGTGTGCACCCTGCTCCCATGCATGCAGATTCTCGGCTGACTTCATTAGCAGGCTGCATTTTATCCACACGCGGCCTCCGGCCAGATGAAGGCTGCAGAAGCCCTGGGTACCAGAGGAAGCTTGGACTGAAGTGGAGAAAAGCAAGGCTGGGCTCAGGGGACAGATGACTTTGTTGGTAAAGGGCTGAGAAATGAATGAACGAGGACTGAGCTTGATTCCAGAACCCACCTACAAAAGCTGGGCATGAGCTGGGCGGTGGTGGCATACACCTTTAATCCCAGTACTCGGGAGGCAGAGCTAGGTGGATTTCTGTGGGTTCGAGGCCAGCCGGGTCTTTAGAGTGAGATCCAGGACAGGCACCAAAACTACACAGAGAAACCCTGTCTCAAAAACCAAACCAAACCAACCAACCAACCAAACAAACAAACAAAAGCTGGGCATGGTGATACATACTTGGGTTCCCAGCACTGGGAAGGCAGAGGCAGGAGAATCCCTGGCTTCACTGGCTAGCCAGTCTAGCCTGTTACCAAGCTCTAGGCCAGTGGCAGACCCTGCCTCAAAACAAACAAACAAAAACAAGGTACATGACATCTGAGGTTGACCTCTGGCCTCCACACCTATCTCACCATACATAGGTAGGAATGGGGAAGGGGGGTGGGGGAGAGAGAGAGAGAGAGAGAGAGAGAGAGAGAGAGAGAGAGAGAGAGAGAGAGAAACAGGGACCACCATTTAAGAAGCCCTGACCTTGGCTGACCTTGGCTGACCTACCGCCTTTGCTGAGCCTATTTTCTCTCAGGTAATGCAGGAGGCAAAGTGGGATGTGTTCCTGGGGTGGGGAATGGGATGTACGGATGGTGGATTGGGGTGGAGGGGGGTAGTTAGGCCACTCTGAATTCTTTCCACCACTTTAAACCAGTGTCAGGATCTATCTAGTCCAGCCTGCTGCTGCAGAGGATGACCTCCTTCGGAAGGGAAGTAGCTGCTGAGGGGCCGCTCCAGTGCAAGACAAAGCCGTGGGAAGGTTGGCCAGTCCGTTTTCCTGCCTCAGCAGCCAGATCCACTCCCAAGGCGGTGGAAAGCTTCAGAAGGAAATTGGATTGCAATTTAATTGATGGCCTGGAGGATGTGCTACGGTCATTAAGCTGCCCTGGAAAGCCAGCCATTGTTCTGTACAGCGTGACAGAGCTCTGCTTGGATGACACCACACGTGTGTGTACGTGCATGTGTGCCCAGTCCCTTCCTCACTGGGCCCACTGTGAGCAGGAGTGTGTCTCCGCTGCCAGGGGGACCCCAGTGGCCACCGTCACATCACATGCTTTCTTGGAGGATCTTACATCCAGCAGCCTCCCAGCTCTGCCTCTGGCTTCTCATTCCTCTCCAGCCCCCAAACTTGCAGCCTGGGAATGCCCTCTCCTCGGACCTTGCCATAGTCACCTTAAGTCCCTGCATGGCCTCTGCCGTCTGCGCAGTCTCCACCAGACTCCTTGTCAGCTCCTGGGAAGGCCCACTGTGAGCTTCCAGAAGCTTCCTCTGGGTCGTGGAAAGCTCCCTGGTCAGAGTTCTGACAAGTCTCACAGCCAAAAGAAAGTACCCCCAGCTCTGTTGAAATCTCTGTTTCCTGAGCCATTTCCATAGAGATGTTCCTTCTGTTCTGTTCTCTTTATTCATGGCTCACTTTTTTTTTTTAACGTATTGTAAAATAGCATTTCCCAAATTTCCAGTGTTATCCAGATCTGGCTGAAACCTTTAGCCTGGATTTCAAGTTTCTGAAGGGAAGATCTTGCAGCCAGCAGTGACTGGGTAAGAGAATGCGAGGCTCGGTTTCCTCATCTGTGAAATGGGTGTGTGTGGGACACCTCACGGAGTGGTTGAGAATTAAAAGGGCAGAGCCCTGTCCAGAGCAGGAGCATGGGAGCCCCCAGGCAGCACTGACTGCAGTGACAGAGATTCCCACGTGACATGTTCTCTGCTCCCAGGATCTTTTTCTCACTGCCAGCCATGAGTTGGGTTGACCTAAGGCCAAATCCCTTTGGAAGAGAGATTCTCTCTTCCTAGTGCTTCTACAGAACCTCAGATTCATTCACCCACCCATCCATCTGTCCGTCCATCCATCCATCCATCCATCCATCCATCCATCCATCCATCCACCCACCCACGCACCCATCCATCCATCCACCCACCCACCATCCATCCATCCATCCATCCACCCATCCATCCATCCATCTACCCACCATCCACCCATCCATCCACTCATCCATCCATCCACCCACCCACGCACCCATCCATCCATCCACCCACCCACCATCCATCCATCCATCCATCCATCCACCCATCCATCCATCTACCCACCATCCACCCATCCATCCACTCATCCATCCATTCACCCACCCACGCACCCATCCATCCATCCACCCACCCACCCTCCATCCATCCATCCACCCACCCACCCATCCATCCATCCATCCACCCACCCACCCATCCATCAATACATACATACATCCACCCACCCACGCACCCATCCATCCATCCATCATCCATCCATCCACCCACGCATCCATCCATCCATCCATCCATCCATCATCCATCCATCCATCCATCCACCCATCCATCCATCCATACATCCACCCACCCACACATCCATCCATCCATCCATCCATCCATCTATCCATCCATCCATCCACCCACCCACGCATCCATCCATCCACCCACCATCCATCCATCCATCATCCACCCATCCATCCACCCATCCATCATCCATCCATCCATCCATCCATCCATCCATCCATCCATCCATCGCTTTCTTCTTTTGATTAGTTTCCAGCTCAGCTCCTGTACCTGACACTGAGCTGAGAAGAAGCCAGACAAGGACCAAAACTCAGCCATGGTGACCTTGGTACCTGCCCTGGGATGATAGGGATGGGAATGTCTGTGATTGCTGCAGGCTCTCTCTGTCTCTGTCATCTCTGAATCTCAGTCTCTTTATCTCTCCCTGTCCCTCAGTCTCTCTCCCTCCCCCCAACCCTCCTCTCTCCGTGTGTATGTGTCTTTATTTTAGGAGCTTCTTCCCTCCCTGACTGGGAGAGCCCCTTCCAGGCCTCAGACCAGGGGGAGGGTGCCCATTTGCTGAGAAGGGAGAGGCCTTGTGAAGCCTAGAGTGGACTGTGCCCCCTCCCATCCCTGGCCCCTGTAATCAGACGTTTCTATCAGCTCCTGGGACAGAAAAGAAACCCTGACCACGTGCAGCCAACTCTATGCAGCCCAGCCCCCAAGGAGACAGAGTGACCTGGCTCAGCTAGATGCAGGATTCAAGAGTTCCCAGCACCCTGGGCACACTCAGAGAGCTGTTTCATTTCTTGGAGAAAAACAGTGAGCCAAGCTCCAGGCTAGCTCACTAAGGTGAGCCAGGCTCCAGGCTAACTCACTAAGGTGAGCCAGGCTGCAGGCTAGCCCACTAAGGTGAGCCAGGCTGCAGGCTGCTGGGCGGCTGCTCTCCCAGGTTCTCCGCTTGTGGGATCCAGGAAGAGAGGGAGGCAACGCCACGCTTCAAACAGCTAGTCTCTTTTTAGGGAAGATGCCATCGTCTCAATTAAAACGCACACCAGAATATTTAATGGCACGGAAATTGATTTAGATGCTATTTAAATAATTTCCCCCTGGAGAAGATGGGAATTACTTGGCCTAATTTTCTGGAAGCATCCATTTCCTTACCGTTCACAACTTCCACTCACTGCTCCGTTCACCGGGGTGAGCTGCAGTGCGCATCGGTCTCCCGGGACTCCGCTACCGCAGGAGGACAGAGCTTAAGACAGGACAACTGTGGTCAACAGGAGAGGACAGGGTGGTGGCTCCAGGAAGACTCTGGGCGTCTCACCCTCACCAGGTACCACCTCCCCCCGCCCCGCCCCGCCCCATGTAGTTCCAGAAGGCCTAGTCACAGGGAGGAGCTTGGGGGTGGGGCTGGTGAGGCATGGTCGTTCATGATGTCATCAAGAATGGGCGGGGCAAGTGAAGGCAGTCTCCCCAGAGGGTATAGCTAGCTTTTGCAACCCCTCAGCATCTCTGCCCACCACACAGTAGCCCATAGGATATTGGGGGTGTTTCTGAGCTGTAAGAGGATGCAAGGAGAGTTGGAAATGGATCTGTGACGTGCCCTTTGGGTCACAGTAATCTATGAAGAGTCCAGATTTTGCCTCCCATTACTTTCTATTTTCCTTTCACAGTGGAAAGTACAATGGTTCAAAGCAGGTGAACTATACAGATTATAGCTCATGGACCGAATCTGTCCCTCTGACTGTTTGTATAAATAAAACTTTATTGGGACATTGTGTGCTTTTCCTTTTAGATGCTGTCTATGGCTACCTTCCTGTTTCCTCAGCAGTATCAGGCAGCCTAAACTATTTACTATTTATAGGAACATCTTGCCAACCTCTGTTTGAAGTATAAACATATGAAAATGGCTGTTTTATTTTATTTAGTTAAAAATTTTAAAAGGGAAAATACCGTCAATTTCATGTGGCTGGACCTAAGATCCCACTTCTCAGAGAGATCAAATGACCTGTCCAGGGCTGTACAGCTGGAGAACAGAAGGATGAGGACACCAGCATAGACTTCACTGAAGCCAGCGTAAGGGCCCTGCTTGCTTTCTGTAGCTCTCTAGTCTGAGCTCTGTGGTCATGTGACTGCCCCTGCAACCGCCAGATACTGACTTGTCCCTGAAGCCCTACATTGCCCTCCCTGGAAACACACCCCCAGAGCATGCTGGGACTGCAGAATGAGAAGGACCCTGGTTGACTCTTTGCTCTGACTCAGTGCTGTGACTGGAACCCACGCTGGGAGCTTCAGGTCTTAGCAAGGGGAGTTGGAGCACGGTGCAGAGGAAAACATGATCAGACCAGCCAGGGTCCCTCCACCCTCTGCTTTCTGGCTACAACACAAGGGGGTAAGAGGTGCAGCAAAAAGCCTGGTCCAGACAGGAGATGCTGAATCCACGAGACTCAAAGGGCCGTGAAAGTCTGAACAGGTTGGTTTGGAACCAAGGGTCTTAGGGGTCAGCTGGATGAGGTGTGGGGGTGAGTCTCAGAAGGGGACAGACAGTAGGACACTCAGACTTCACTGGTGGGGTGGACACTTTCCTGAGACAGCACTCCCTGAGCAAGGCACAGCTGGGGGATGGTTGAGCACGCCTCCTGGGCCGCTATGGAAAGTGGAGACTGTTTCAAACAGTCTCGGGAAGGTCGAGCGGAGGCATGTACAGTGCTGATCACAGCCCATGTGGCTCCAGAGCACGGTTAAGAAGGACACTAGCAAAAGCATCAAGGTGGGGTGGAGACGATGCTGGCACCGGAGTCACCGTGACAATCTGCAGATTTGCCACTCACTAAGTCACCGTGGACACTTCATCTCAATATGTCATGCTCATGCACCTGCATCCACCCTTAATCCCTACACACTCTGTGTCTTCCGTGGACAGCAATCATTTCTCCCATAGCTACATGGTCAACGCTGTCTTCCTCATTCAGTTCTTAGATTTGTGAGAACAAGGGGCTGTGAACTGTCTCTTTAGTCTGCATTGTGGTTCCTCACAGAACAAAAAATACTTAGGAAATGCTTGTGAGTCACTCACCAGGTATGTGCCTGCAGTGGGTGCTCACTTTTGGAATCACATGATTGATTCCTTCATCAGGTATGTGACAACCCTGAACATGTCACATCAGGTAACAGGGAATGATTTTTCTCACTCCAGTTCCCTTGGGAAAATAATTTTGTACTTGCTGGAAACAGAACCAGGAAGGTAGGTGTTTGCCTAGTCACACCCAAGTCACAGCACAGTATTTTTCTTCAGTAGCACACAAATCACAAATTCTCACAATGTCTTTTTCAGTTAAAAAAAAAATAAACTGTTGCTAGGTGGTGGTGTTGCCTGCCTTTAACCCCAGCACTTGAGAGGCAGGAGCAGGCAGATCTCTAAGTTTGAGGCCAGCTTGGTCTACAGAGCAAGTTCTAGGACAGCCAGAGCTACACAGAGAAATCCTGTCTTCTAAAAACAAAAACAAAAACCAACCAAACAAAATAAGCTAATAGGCCCAGGAGACTAATGAGGGGAGAGTCAGCATTCCAGAGGCAGAAGAGGCAGCCCTGGAACAGGATATTTCAGACAAGGCAGCCCTGTGTGAAGGACAGGGACCCAAAGATACAGTGGCCTTAAAAGCTCCTACATCTCTGTTAAGACACCTGACAGACCAGTATCCTCTTTGCCCTTATGACTCCTTCCTTTTCCATTTTCAAACCTGATTTTTCATGATTCCAACTCAGTCTTGACTCCTCTTCCTCCTTTGGATCTCCACCTTTGCTCTTCCCCCCCCCCCCCCCCGTGGGATGTGTTCAGAATGAAAGCTACCCAGAGCAAGGACTTCCCTGATGTGCTCTCACCAGCTCCTACTCTTACCTGCCCCTCGGATGGCCCTTCAAGGCAAAACTATTTTGAAATAATTTCCCCAGGCAAGGGACATTGGTCTTCACCCCCAAGTTTGTCAAGTTCTAAGAGCAGGGGCACTCAGTGTCCCCCACTCAAGTGGTGTCACCCCCTTTTGTCTTCAAGTGATACCCCCAAGTTACCCCAGAGATCTCTTCTTTCTCCCATTTTTGGTGGAAGATTATTTCTCTACTCATTCCAGCTACTGTGTTAGACAACCGATCAGAAGCCAGAAACCCCAGACCCACCCATTTCCCTTCTCATGGCCAATCACAACACTTGCTTTTCTCCTTCTTGTAATGTTAACATTTACCTCACCACCTAGGTGTAGCCCAGGCCAACTTTCAACTTCTGATCCTCCTGCCTCAGCTTCTTTAGCAGCCCAGACTGCAGACAGGCACCTCCTCCATGCCCTTAATTGACCACCATCTCTTGCTTAGATGTTCACAGCAGCCTCCCACGGTCCTCCTGGACTCAGCCTCTCTCTCAAAAGACTCCGTTTCCATGGTCTGCTCAAAAGCCTTTAGATTTGGGGCTGGAGAGATGGCTCGGTGGTTAAGAGCATTTGATAATCTTGCAGAGGACCTGAGTTCAGTTCCCATCTCCTGTGTTGGAGAGTTCATAATTGCCCGAAAGTCCAGCTCCAGGGGATCCGATGCCCTCTTCTGGCCTCCTTGGGCACAAACATATGTGGCATATACATACTTACACACAGTCTTTCACACACACACACACACACACACACACTCACATACACACACAACTCACACATACACATTAGTAAAAATAAAATGAAATTCTTTAGACTTTTCTTTCAGAATGAGATTTGACTCTTTCAAATCGTGTCCACAGACAGTGCTTTCCATGGCAGCCATGATAGCCTCAGCTTTCCTCCCTAGCCCAGACCTTTCATTATGCAATCATCCATTGACAGAATTAAATATTGCTTTCTAGACAGGTGGATTATACAGTATGGTGGTTGGAAACAAAAGTCCAGGATTCCAGACAGAACAGCAGTGCAACATGAACACAGAGAGGCAAAAGAATGCAAGGGAGTATGTTACTGTGTCGTGGATGCTCATCCAGAGAGTGCAAGGACAGATCAAAGCCGGAGAGGGAAGGAACTGAGTGTTCTACACTGTGCTACAAGGGAAAGTCCCCCAGGAGCCTCCCGCTCGCTCTTTCAGTGTGACACACAACTGGGTCCTCTGACTACTTCCACTGAAGTCAATCTGCATTCAGTGCTGCTGCTGGGCTGTCCACACTGCATGCAGCGTCCACCCTGAGTGCAGCGTCAACCCTGAATGCAGTGTCTACACTGCGTGCAGCGTCCGCCCTGAGTGCAGCGTCCACACTGAGTGCAGCGTCCACACTGAGTGCAGCGTCCACCCTGAGTGCAGCCGTCCACCCTGAGTGCAGCCCAGTGTAACCAACCACGCCAGGGCTGAAACTGAGAAACAGCAGCAGAATCATCTCTGGTGCCAAGGCCAGCAAGGGTCACGTTTGACTGGTTGCCATGAACATACAAAGGGACCCATGCAGCTGACGGCTTGGCACAGAGAGTAACTCAGCACAGTGTCTTGTGGCCGCAGCTGACCTTAAAGGGAGAGTCTAGAAAATCCCTGCAGCTCCTGTCACACCCTTCTCTAGCCACAGACACATCATGTGGGTGCCAGGTGTTGACGTAACCGTCAGTTCTGAGTCTTAGCTGACAAAATTCTTCTGCCTGCCTTTGGCCAGCTTTCTCCATCATTAGTCCATTGAACTCACTGTTTGATGCTTTTTGAAACTGAAAAACAAAAACCAAAACTAAAACAAAAAACCCAACAATGACTGAAAAAAAAAAAAAAAGCCTACCGGTCAGGAATCTGGGTTTAGCTCCACTTCCTGTAAGCTCTGTCTGAAACCCCTTACACGTATGTTTTCTCCCTTGGACATGGGGTGAAAACTCACTTCTCCATCAGAAGCCCACTGTGGTGCCGGTGAGTGGATCCCCCTGGACTTGCACACTGTCTGTGCCTATTCCAACAGTGTTATCCTTGCCCAGAGCATTCCGGGCCTTTGTCTTCTACTGCATCTGCCTTGCTAATGCCTCTTCTTGACTCTTCCTTTGGCCCTTGGGATTCTTTATCTAGATGTGGAGTTCTTTTTATGTTTTGCGATAAGGTCTCACGGTGTAGCCCGGCTAGTCTAGAACTCATCATGTAGACCAGGCTGGCCCCAAAGCCTCAGAGATCTGCCCGCCTGTGCCTCCTGAGTGCTGAGATTAAAGATGGGTGCCGCCACACCTAAGTGGTGTTCTTTTTTAAAATGTGGGTGAGTGTGTTTGTGTGTGTGTGTGTGTATCCTTGTGGAGCCCAGAGGTCCAACCTTGGATATCTTCCTCAATCACTGGACATCTAAGTGTTTGAGGCAGGGTCTCTCCCTGACCAGTCTCACTGGCCAGACTGGATGGTCAGTGAGGCTCCAGGCGCTGCCCATCTCTGCCCTGCTGGGATGACAGGCAGGAACCGCTGCTCCTGGCTTTATCGTGGGTGTTGGGGATGGAATGCAGCTCCTCATGATCACCCGACAGGCATTTTGCTGGCTGAGCCATCTACCCAGACCCAGATCTGGAGTTTTTAAACATGGGGCTCATGTTTGCTTTTCAAGGTGCTCGGCAGGTGCCACCCATGAGGAGGCTGAGTGCAGATGTGTTGCTTCCCCTGTGCCTGGTAGGTGTGGTGCCCTCAGGTCACATCTGTGTACGGATGGAGAGCTGCACACCCTCCTCTGTGGAGCCTGGACAGGCTTCAAAGGCAGGGGTTGTACCTTCTCCGGGACCTGCTCCCTGCCGCTCTCCACTACGCAGGGCTGGGTAGATGCGCACAATAGACATTTTAGTTTGAACCAACTGGAAATGACAGGCTCATTCCAGGAGTCCTCCCATGGCCGTCTCAACGAGAGGAGAGAGCCGCTGGCTGGCAGAGGACATAGATAAAGCGGTGTGGAGTTGGCAGAACCATTTATCCTTCCGAAAGAACTAAGGCTAATCTCGAGTGAGCAGTCTGGGTGGCTTCTTGTTCCTAATACAGATGGTATCAGGGCCAGATGTGATAACCTCCCGAGGTTTCCATAAGATACTGGATGCTGGCTGGAGCTAAACACTTGCCTTCCTTCTGGATCTGCAGCTCCCTGTCACATCACACTGTCCTTTGAACTGCAGGGACCAAACAGGTTTTCCACACAGGCTGGAAGTCAACACCTTTATCCTTTCCCAGGGCTTCCTGCTTCGGTTTAAAACCTCAGCATAAACATCCTCTCAGTCATCTTAAGTTAAAGAATCTGTCTGTCTTCCTACTTGCCTGCCTACCTACCTACCTATCATCCATCTACCTACCTATCTGTCCATCCATCCATCCATCCATCCATCCATCCATCCATCCATCCATCCATCCATCTATCTATCTATCTGCCTGTCCATCCATCCAGCTAGCTAGCTGTTGGGGGTGGGTGAGCAGTCCTGAGCATATGCCTAGGGAACAGATCCATGTTTTTCTTTCTTTCTTTCTTTCTTTCTTTCTTTCTTTCTTTCTTTCTTTCTTTCTTTCTTTCTTTCTTTCTTTCTTTCTTTCTTTCTTCTTCTTCTTCTTCTTCTTCTTCTTCTTCTTCTTCTTCTTCTTCTTCTTCTTCTTCTTCTTCTTCTTCTTCTTCTTTTCAATAGCCATGCTCACCTTTCTAAGGCAGATCTTTCATCACAGTTAACATAGAGCACTTGCTTGCTTCACTGTGCCTTCTATTATGGGATGATGCAGCAAACAGGCTCCCCCTGGTGTGGCCCCTTCATCCTTGGATTTATCACCCTCCGGAATCAAGAGCCAAGTGAACCCCTGCTCCTTATAAACCAACCACTCCCAGGTTTTCTGTTACTGTACCACACAGTGAATGGAGGTACCAGGTCTGGGACAGGTCGTACACTTTGCATTTCAGGGCCAAGGTACTGCTGCTGTGGGGTGAGGGGTCCCACTATGGAGTGAGTGCCT